GACGGAAGGTTTCCTTTTAGGGTTTATTTTTTCAGTCTTTAAAATGCTCTTTGTAAGTTGGAGGGGGGGGTTACTGCACTTCCAAGTTGAAAATAGAATAGAATAGAAAATCCCTTTATAGTCCCACAATGGGGAAATTGTGGCATTACAGCAGCAAAAGATTATAGCAAAAGTGGTCACACAAATGTGGGCCATAGAAAAGTGTATAAATGTAAAAACAGAAAAAGTGACTAAGTTAAGAAAATATATAAAATACAATGTAAATACTGCGCATCTGGAGAATAAATAATGAATATACAGCTGTGGACATTTTTACAGTAGTGGATATGTGGAAAAAATAGCAACACTGGAGATGTGCAAACATGATAGCAGCATGTTACTGAAGTGACTAAGACAGAAACTGCAATCAGCATGAATTTAACTACTTATTGAGGTTGTTGGGGAGAGTGATGGTTGTAGAGGCTTACAGCTGCTGGAAGAAAGGATCTGTCATAACGCTCTCTTTAGACTAACAAGATTTAGACAATTACCATGCAGCGTCGAAGTCCACATCCTGGACTTTGTTGTAGCGCCACCTGGAATAAACAGTTGTGCAGAAAACCCTGTCCTTGGTCTCTTGCAGTGTTGTGAAACGATCTCGGAGAAACCCCTCAAAGCCAGACTGAGTGGTTTTTAGCACCTTCATGTCCTTCACCCCGCTGTGAACCACAGGGGTGCCTGTATGGAGAAAAGTTGGAGCAAAAGCACTAAAGAGTTTATATAGAAATAGTTTCCATCTATAAAACAGGGAAAGCAGATATAGCTGCAAAAAAAAAAAAAAAATGCTAAATTGCAATGAAGGTAAAATAATAAACTTCCAGACTTGGAACTAGTAAAGTCTTTGTATCTGTTGCTGTAGCATTATGTATGCTAACAAAGGAGATCAACTCAAGATATAAGACCAGAGGAAATAATCTGAGTAAAACAAACATTATTTTTTATGAAAAAAGCCCATGCTAACATATTCTCATAATAAAATATAAGTGTGGTGCGTGTGTGTGCTATTACCGCCGAGGTTCTGTTCCACATCACAGAAACGACAAGCCTCTGGGCTGTAGATAAATGCGTGAGCGTGTTCTACACCGTTCTGAGAAAAGAAAAGTGAGGCTTTTAAAAAATATTATTTTGAAACCAAAATATTTAACATTTACCCAATATTTTAACAAGGCTGTTTAAATCCTTATCGAGTTATTGGGGTGGACAACTTGCGATAATAAATCTTTTCCACATTTTTTGCTAATCTTGAAAAAGTTTAATGTTCCACTCAAAGTCATGATTAAATAAGGATGTATGCTTAAAATCAACAGAGGTGTCAAGTAAAGTACAAATACTTAGTGTACTTAAGTACACTTTTTAGGTTTCTATACTTTACTCTGTTACTTATTTCTTTCTTCTTTATTTCAATTTCTTTCTTCTTCTAACTTCTACTCATTACATTTTCACACAAGTATCTGTACTTTCTATTCCTTACATTTTTAAAACAAACGTTACTCGTTACTCTCGATTTCGGTTTAATGTTAATAAATGTTTATTTCACATGATATGCGCCATCCAATGCAGATCATTGGCATCATCCACATCTAGTGAAAACTAGTGTAATTGGATGAGTCATATAACGCAAACACTCATTGGTTAGGTAAAGGAAATCATCAGAAGCAAGCAGGTGTTCTTCAAACTGTAAACACAAATTGTCTATGCCATGCTACAATGTCGGATTCAGAAAAAGATGTTGAAATGTCTAAAAGGTCGGACACAGGCGAGAGCATATCAGGAGAGGGGAACCAACAAGACCTCCCTCATCCTTGGCCCTCTCTTAAAGAATTTTTCGAAACAGTCGAAAAAATTAGCTTTTAGTTCATATAGTGGCATCTGGCTGTTTTTGTTTAAAGGTTACTTTATACTTTTATACTTTAAGTAGTTTTTGGAGCACATACTTTTTCACTTTTACTTGAGTAAAGAGGTCAAGTTGATACTTCAACTTTTACCAGAGTGTTTTTTAACTGCAGTATCTATACTTCTACTTAAGTAACAAATGTGTGTACTTTTGACACCACTGAAAATCAATCTTTATCTTACTACCTGAGAGTTCACTAAAGTTCACTTTGGTTAAAACCGTTCTGGTAAGTAGAATTTCATCCAAACAGAAGCTCAGTACCTAAGGAATGTAACCCATATCATGATGCTAACACCAATACAGCTCACTCAGACCAGCAGGATTTTTTGTTTTGTTTCTTTTTTGCCTGTTTCCCATTAAGCTTTTAAGTACAGTCTCTCCCATTTCAACCACTGAGGCCTTTAACTCCCTCAGAGTGGGTGCAGGTATCTTGGTGGCACCTCCCTCCATCCCTCACCAGTCTCCTTCTTTCACTGTCTTTCCATTTGGGAGGATGTCCAGGAAATTTTCAGTGAGTTACTGTTTTTTTTTTTTTTTTGTAGCTATTCCATTTTTAAATAACACTATCTAGTATTGATATTATTAAAAAGAATACCGGTAAGTCATGTTTATACTTTTTCACCTTTTATAGTATGAAAAAGAAACCTAAATTTCAAAGAGTGAATACTGCAAACTCCATTAATGCATAAAAAATGTATTATTTGCTCATAGTTGGGATCTCTTGCATCAGGAAAAGGACATTAGTGTTTCTTATGAACATTATTGTTCGTATTTAAGTCACTGTATGTTCTTAACTATTTATTATGCGGCATGGCATAAGTACTAAGTTTAATAAATTTTGCGGAATAGAAAGTGGTTACAGAATGCTTGCAGGAAAAAAAAGGAACTTTAGAAAGAATTCATTCAGTTAAGAACTAATGTTGCAGAGAGCAGACATGCAAACTATAAAAATAAGCTGAATATTTTAATATCAAGCAGAAAACAATATTACAAATAGATATTGGAAAACAAGTAATAACAAGTGGATATGGTGTATTCTACTTAGTGTTTTAAAAAAAATTGTGTCAAGCAAACAAATTATCCTGAGCAATTTGTAGATACAGATGCTAATAAATATGATATGACTGATGTTGCAAATAGTTTAGATCTAAAAAGGCATTATATACAATTGATCACAACAGATTACTTAATAAACGGGAACAGGCAAGGTATAAGGGGTGCTGTGTTGGAGTGGGTTAAAACCTATAAACACATATACATTTTATTTTGTACATTAATTATATTTTTAAGGTATCAAGTAAATTAAAAAGGATTCTTTTTGCTGATGATACCAACATTTTTCGCACTGAGGCTAATTTACAAACACTTTGGGATGATGTCACTTGTGAAACTGAACGGATAGAGGTTTCTTTAAATTTGAAAAAACAAAATTCATATAATTCGGCAATCACAATAGAAATGTAAACATATACATTAAAATTAATGGATTTCCAATAGAAAAAGTTCACCAACTAAATTTCTCAGGATGAAAATAAGTAATCATTTCAACTGGAAATTGCCTAAAACCCTTTATCCTCATGTGTTGGATCATAAATCAGTTCATCTACTATACTATGCATTAATTTGCATATAGTAACATATTCAAAATACTGTTCAGTGGTTTGGGGTAACACACTACTTCTCCGCACCTGTTAATCATGCATCAAATGAAAGCAAAACGCATTTTACATAATGGTGACTTTCTACAGTCAAGATTATTTAAGTTCACACATTTAAATTTCAAACAGCATGAGTTACGTTCAAGATCTGATAGATTACCAGCTTATATACAGGAGATGTTTCAAGATGGAGATGGTGGGTATAATTTAAGGTGTCATTTAAAGCCAAAAACTTTGATTGCGCAAATAAGAAAAAGAACCTTCTCTGGTGTACGGCTGCGGAATGACTTAAGTAAAGAACTGAAACAAAGTAGAGGCATGAAAGTATTTACAAAAAAGTACATTTTAACAATACAGGGTGGCTTACAGGCCATGGCCATTATCTGGATATGTGGGTTTATTACTTGTTATTTACCAATCATTACTGAAATTGTTCTGATATTAGTTTAGTTATCTCTTTGGTTATAGATGGCAGTTTTTTAATGTGTGAACTTCAGCACAGTTATTATTTCTTCTTTTTATTTTGGTCTAGGAAAGAAGGATGGTTTAATGAGTTTGACTGATAAACAGTGATGAAAAACTGAGAGAGGGGGGTATATGTATAATTGTTCACTTCTACCCATTTGTTTTTTTTTTTAGACCTGATTTTAAATCGATTTTCTGTTGTATTGTTTTACTGACCCCTGTTTGACAGGGTATATCTTGAAGAGCAATAAGGTGTTGTATTTATACAATAAGGTGCTGATGAAGATTCCCAGTCATCCAGGTCATAGTCATTCCGTAAAGGTTAAAAAAAATATCCACTGGACCTGGATTCCAAGATTTGAAATTTCAAATCTTGGAAACCAAGTCCAGTGGATATTTTTTTTTTTTAACTTTTACGGAGTATACAATAAGGTCACTCTGATTCTGTGGAACATAGTGGATGATGCAATCTAAGAGGTAGATAAAATGTTGCATTAGTTAAGTTTTATATCATTTAAAGTCAGATTCAATATAATCAGAGATAGGGTTAAAGTCAAGCTAACTGAGAATGTGCCCACTCTGATTTTCAGCTGAGTTTTTATAAGGTATACATCACAGATGTGCAAACATAATCTACATAATGAACATGTATACACTTTTATGAACCATTTTACTTTGCTAAATGTTTTGCCAATAATTAGGTAGCAGCAGTGAGTGGGTTAAAACCAGTGCTTATCTCTGGACTTGAGTGTTACCTTGTTCAGCCTTTTCCAGGGTGCCTCCTCCATGTAAACTTTGGCCCTCAGTACATGGTTGAAAGAGGTCAGGAAATGATGACAGAGATCAAGGGAAAATTGCTCAATGGTGTTTACCTGAACATATAGGGGGGGAAAGTCTGAATAGTTTGTTTTTGTACATTATTAAAAATACTGGATTTGCATTAATTTAAAGTTCCATTGAATTTGGTGGGTGTTATAATGATTATGTTTTTCATGAAAAATACAATTATTTACTGTGTAGCAGTGAGCTTTTGCAAAAACAATCTCTGGTCTGTAGATGTCTGTTTAGCTGCATAACCAATAAAGAATGATTTTGCCTTTGAAGGAAAGAAACCACATATGATGTTTTGTAAATCCCAGTGGTTTCCAACTAATTTACAGAAATCCCCCCTTACCAAACGTTCATACTTAAATTGTTAAACATTCCTTCCTTCCTTCCTTCCTTCCTTCCTTCCTTCCTTCCTTCCTTCCTTCCTTCCTTCCTTCCTTCCTTC